TCAGAAACCCAAGGAGGGGTCGCTATGAGTTGGGGCCAACTCGACGGCACACAACAACAACAACAACATATATATTTTAAAAGAGAATGTGGATATTCTAGGTTATTTTTGATAATTTCCTAGACCCCTGAAAATCTTGCTTTGGCTAACCTGAAGTAGAAAGATAATTGTTTCTTTTCCCCCCCATGACTCTGTAGTTTCCTTTATCCCTTCATTAATAATGTGAAAAAAAGACCCTTCCAAGCTGTGTTTTACACAGCTGAGCATAAGCAGGACAAAACAAAGCTACAAAGCACTGTAAGGTAATAAGAACAGAAACACTGTATACTGAGCTTCATTGTTTACAAATCATATTTTCAGCCATATTCTCAGTTACGTTTCACAACTATCCTGGACATAGACATTATTATTCTTATTTTTCAAATGATGAAATTAAGATTCAAAGAAGTTAAGCAAAAGTGGTCAAGCTAGTACTCAAACCCAGTCTAACACCCTGTCCCAGAGTTTACAGCTGCTATTGTGCTTTCCCAAGCCTATGTATAATAGAGATCAGAATTTTGCAACTAAAAACCAGAGTGTATGAGTATTAATTAGTTCTAAATTTAAATTGTTTTTTTGATTATGAACTAAAAAAAACCATAAAGATTTAAACTGTTTCATTCAAATTGATGAGAAGCATAAGTTTTCAAATAAACACCAACTTATTTGCATTTTTAATCTAAAATTTCTTTTAAAAATTAATGTTCTGCTCATATTATTCTTTCTACTGTTTTAAGCACTGATATGTTACCTCAGTTTGTTTTATAATTTATTTTAGTCTGTACTATAAAGAAACTAAGAGGAAAAAAAGCAATTCTGCACGCAAACTTGGTATAAAAATATAAGGCAAAACAGAAAGTAACTGATGATGCCCAATTGATGATGATATGATTTTCGTTCAAATAGAAAAGTAGTAAAAGTCTAGTAAATGTATACATATGGATTACCTCTAGAGCAAACTGGGCAGCTAAACTGAGGAGCATGGTAGGTGAACTTCTATCTGTATGTAAGTCATTATCTTCTGTCTCTTCATCTCTTAATAAATTCTCTAGAATAGTAATTGCTTGTAAAGCTGAAAAAAAGAAAACAATCCAAAATAAGATACTCTTATTCACAGGTAACAGCTATCTATGGTTAATTACAGCACACTGAATGTGGAACTTAGTTTAAGAGTACTGATATCTTTTAAATATAGGATAATTTTCATAAAATCATATGAATTGCTAAATGGTTAAGGAGTATGTGAATATCAGGAAAATGTCCTACTGAGTAATTGCACCCAAATAAATTTATTCCATGGACATATCTGAAAAAGCATACAAACACATACAAGGATGTTTATCTAATATTGTTTGTTAAGAGTAAAATATGGAACCAGCCTAAATTCCATCAGTAAGAGGTAAGTAAAATAAATTTTGGTACATTCATAAAATGGGATACAATACAGAATAAAGTAAAAAAAGAAAAAGTATGGCTGTATTATATTCTATTATATGTCTTAAGGACAGATTATTATAAGTTAAAAAAGTGTACTATAATCCTTAAGTAACAGCTAGAACAACAAAGAGTTATTAGTTTGGTTTATTAGGTAATAAGCCAAAAAGAAGACAAAATGTAATATACGTAATATTCAATTGAAAAGAAAGCAGAAAAAGAGAATAAGGAAACAAACAAACAAAAAAGGAACAAATAGAAAACAATTAACAAAATGCTAAATTTAAACCTAACCACATCAACAATCACATTAAATAAATAATTTAAATGCCTCAATTAAAAGCAGAGAAAGGCAGGCAGAATGGATCTCTCTCTCTCTCTCTCTCTCTCTTTTAAAGCAGAATATCCTATTTCCAAGTAACACAGGTTAAAAGAAAAAAATATGGGAAAATACATATCATGCTAAAAGTAATTAAAAGAAAGCTAGGGTGGCCATATTAATCTTAGACAAAATAGATTTCAGAGCAGAGAATACTACCAGTAATAAAGAAGATCATTTAATGATGATAAAAAGATCAATTCGTCATGAGGACAGAACAGTCCTAAATATTTATGCACCCAATAACAAAATTTTAAAATATAAGAAACAAAAATTGATAAAACTAAAAGGAGGAATTAATAAATGCACAATTATAGTTTAAGATTTCAGTACCCTCTCTCAATAAGGTGGTATCACTATGGAAGTAGACTGCCTAAGCTTCCTTCTGAGGAGTGGGTTTGAATTGCCAGCCTTCTGGTTAGCAGTCAAATGCCTTAGGCACTATGCCACAAGAGCTCCCTGAACAAGTAGACAAAATCAAAAAGAATACAGTACACTTAAAAAAATCTTTTAATCGATTTGACTAAATTGATATTTATAGAACACTTGACCCAACAACAGAAAAATATACATTCTTCTCAAGTGCATATGAAACATTTCCAAAGATAGATGATATTTTGGGCCACAGAACCAGTCTCAACATATTAAAAAAAAAAAAATTCAAGTCATTCAAAGTATGTTATCTTACCACAGAGAAATTAGACTAAAAATTAGTAAGAGAAAGTTCATTGGGGAATCTTCAAAAATCTGAGTAATCTGATTCTCAAAAAGAAATCAAAAGTCAAATAGGGAAGCATTTTGAAAATAAATGAAAGGGCAATAGAACTTAACAACAAAACAACAAAAAATCTGATCATAAAATGGGCAAAACGTTTGAATAGACATTTCACCAAAGAGGACAATCAAATGACCACCAAACACATGAAGAGATGCTCAGCATTATTAGTCATCAGAGAGATGCAAATCAAAATCAAATGAGATAGCATTTCACTTTCACTAGGATGGTTATGATTTAAAAAGAAATGAACAAATGTTGGCGAAGATGTGGGGAAATTTGAACCCTTATCCATTGCTGCAAATACAAATTGCAAAATGGTACAGTTGTTGTGGAAAACAGTATGACAGCTCCTCAAAATACCAAAAAATAGAACAACTATATGACCCACCAATTCCACTCCTAAGTATATACCCACACGACTTGAAAGCAGAGACTCAAATAGATACTTGTACACCAATGTTCATGTAGTACGAGTCACAGTAGCTAAAAAGTAGAAGTGACTTAAATGCCCATCAATGGATAAATGGATAAACAAAATGTGGTGTGTATATATATAGTCCTTGAGGACTAAGGTGCGCCTGACACAAGCCATATTTCCAATCGCCTCGTATGCATGTGAGAGCTGGACAATGAATAAGGAAGACCGAAGAAGAGT